ACACACACACACAAAAAAAATCACAACTAAAGGAGCACAAAAGAAGTAAACCATGAATAGCATACTGGACAGATGATAGAATGGAAGCCAAGAGTTTAAATGTGCAGTGGCTGCAGCTGAGACTAATAGAAATGGAGAACAGGTGTGAGATGAGAGACCAGAATGGAGAAATAGAGTGAATAGGGAGTTAATGGCACAAAGAAAAATGATAAATTTTAAAACAGAGAAACAAATAATAAACATAGTAACAAAACACCAAAATACACAAATCCTGATAATTTTTGAAGTTTGTATGTAAAGATGTTAAAAATAAATAATTAAAATTTACTAGTAACCTTTTCTTATCTGATTATCGTCACTATTTTATTTTCCTCTATAGATTATTGATGTGTTATTGTCCACACTTTGCTTGTGTCAACTTTTCATCCAAGACCTCAGGAACTGACACGCCTTCGAATCAAAAAAGACGGAGAGAAAAAAAGATAAAGAAAAAATAAAAGGCAGAGAAAATAGGATTGAGGAAAATAAAAAGAGCAAGGGGGCTAATCGTATAGATGGGCAGGTCCACACTGAATCTGATAGAAATCTGTTGGGAGCTCAGGGTTTGTGTTGTCGTTATTTTGCTGTTGTCCTTAGTCCAAACAGACCCGCAGAGACTTGCTGAGCGACAGCGACAGACTGACGCACAGTCAATAACGGCAGCCCACATCTTATATCAGCATCTTAGCAAACCACTGGTACTCGTGTCTACTCAAGATAAGATGATTACAACAGCTGTGGTTTTGGAATAAGGTGTACATGTGATCCTACATGTGAAGATAAGAACTCAGGTGTGATAAAAACACCTCATGACACACGCAAGCTTGAAGCTGATTAACAATGCCTGCTAATAGAGAGAACAATTGGTTTAATGACGACAGACATTGCTTGAGATTTAATCAGCAGGAGTGTGAGGGAAAATGTTGAGTTGCTTTATTATTCTCCTTCAATAGAACACCTTTAGATTTTAATGTATCCACATTATTAATGAAGTTGCAGAGAAAGTACTGGATAAACAATAATATGTAAATTATTGCATTTTGGTGCTGCTATGGGATTGGCTAGGTTCCTTGAGAAAGTCAAGAAATGCAACTGTGATTTGTTCGTATCTATTGTTGTTTGTGTAAATAAGAAATGTTGAAAACTAAACTTTCATAAAAGAAAAGAAACACTGTTTTCGTTTCAGATACCAAAGTGAAATAAGTATCAACACTATTGCAACTGCTTAAATATTGACCTAATCCAGCCTCAACACCTTTAAAAAACATGACCCAAATCCTAAAGTGTGGCCATGTTTGTGGATACAGTAGGCTCTCGTTTATCGTGGGGGATCCGTACACACACAT